GTCATTTTAAATATCTATTTATTTTTTAAGAATTCACTATGAGTATTAATATTTAGACTATTTATCAAATCAACTTTAGATAAAAAAGATTACACCTTAATTCAGAAAGGTCTTGTATCCATAGTTTGATTAACCACAGAAACAACATATTTATCTTTAATCAAATTGCATCTGGATCCTCTAACTGTCTGATGAAACGACTGCACATGACTCATTTGTGAGTTAAATATTTTGTTGTTGTCAGATGAGAAAGAGCTGCTGTCTGGTTGCTCCTGTGTCGTGACTGGTAGAGAAGTTCATCACAGTGTGTTGAATGTGTTCAGTCTAATGAGGATCCATCAGTCCACTTGAGACAACATGGCCTCCTAAAGAGAAATCAATCACTGCTGCCTATTTAAAAAAAAAGAGAGACCCAGCTGCCTTTCAGGTCCTGATGATTTTTGTGGAGGAGAAAATATTAATATGATTAGAGTCACTTTCCAAAAACACCCTTGAATTAACACTACGAAGCAGTTTGAATATAAAAGATTAAAGCATCGTGCAATTTTTCAGGGGAAATAATCTTATCAGAAATATTGAAAATTGATATTAATGTAAACAGAATTTTTAAAATATTGCTGTTCTTTTATTTAAAATGTGTTCAATAGTAAAACACCCCCCTGATGAAAGTTACTGTTGTAGACTCCTCAAATTAGGTCAAAATAAGTGCAGGCCACATTTTCAAATTTCACAAAATAAAATTATTCCTCCACATATGTTTCCCCAAAAACACTAAAGACAAACCTGTTATTCTAACCTCTCAATAATAAAGATTCAATCTGGATTCAAACTTTCGTATAAAGCGATTTATTAGGTCAATATACTTTACACTTGTCCCTTATTTGTTTGGTCATAACCTCCTTCACATCTTTTCTTATTTTTTTTCCACATGGAGCTGTCGAAGCTGGATCCTCCAGTCGCCCGAAACAAAATAAAGAAAAACGTCTTAAGTTACATGCAAATGTGGTTCAACAAATTCTTTACTAAAACACGAAACGAAAATCCAGAATAGTTTCACCGAATGAGGACATGCACATAACCAACAGAACAGTTTGGCCCTACATATAAATACTTAGAAAATCTTTACAGTCTCATCTCATCATAGTGCCCGTTTATATTTACATATTCACACAACAATAAATAAAAAATCATGACAGCATTTTGCCAAATAATTCATCTGCCTGCGAGAAAATCCTCAGACAAAAGGGACTGAATCCTCCTCATTGTGCTTCATGCGTTCAACAAATCAGTGGAACATATAGAGTCAATGTAAGTGTGTTTTTATTATTATGATGAATGTGTTGGAGTTCATGGCCTGGTCCCTTGCTCTATCTGTTGGTGCTGACTCCTCACGGCAAACCTGTTGACGTGCACGGGGATGGGCACCACGATTTTGGGGTTTCGCACCGGTTCTCCTGAGCGGTTGTTGACGTTTCCAGCTTTGATCCGTTTCCACTTGGCCCTCCGGTTCTGAAACCAGATCTTCACCTGCACCTCGCTCAGTTTGAGTGCGTGTGCGATCTGGGAGCGCTCAGTCAGAGAAAGGTACTTTTTACAGTGAAACTCCTTTTCAAGTTCCAGCAGCTGCTCGCTGGTAAAAGCTGTTCGTCTCCTGCGGCTCTTCCCCGCCGAGCTGCCGGTGGGCAGCGCCTCCTGCGAGCCGGCTTTCAGTTTGCTCTTCTGCGTCAGGGAGCCACAGTTGTTCCCGTCCGAGAAACTCTCGTTCTCGCTGTCCGCGGAGCTGTCCTCCCGGTCGCTGCACACGGTGTCCGCGGATTTCAGGTCCAGCTTCTCGTCGTCTGAACTGTACAGTTTAGTCTCACCTGAAATGTGGAGGGAAAAAAAGGAAAGACACGTTAACAATGAGGCATTTATCCATGAGCCAGAAACACTCCATTACGCACATCAATTGATGAGGTAAAGATAACAGGCAACAAAAACTAGTTGAGAAAAATTCATGAAATGATAATTGAGAGAAACATTATTGCTGAACTAATAATGAACCATCACAACTGTGTGTGTGTGTGTGTGTGCGTGTGTAAAACCATTTTTCACTGGTGGCATCTGAGCACATTTTGGCCTATTGTAAGTGCAACTCCACAAAAACGAATTTCCTGAGGTTTTCCTTGGATCGTTTTTGTTTAGAAAAAATCTGATCAACAATTAGAAATAAATGTAATTATATTTCTAATATAATTGTGACTATAACAATTGTTGTCTCCTTCCAAACTTCCACCAACTTGTATCCACAGGATGTAGTCGACACTGGGAGTTGTCTCATTAATATTTCTGACATTTCTTTCAAGCAAAACTAATCAGACGAGTTTCTTTTCATTGAATCCTCCCTGATCCAGCTGCTCCTCGCAGACTTTCTGAGTGTTGGACCAGCAACCTTCGCATTTTACGCACAGTGGTCACTTCTGTCCGTGAGGATAAAATACCACCAATGAATCACGAGGCCGATCTTACCTGATATTGTCTGAAAAGTTTCCGAGAAGTTGAGCAGATCGGAGCCCTTGTCCCGGCCGTGCAGCTCCTCAGAGTGCGGACTCTCCTGCCTCCTCGCCCCGGGATCGACTGCGCTTAAACGCGGACCGGGGAGCTCTTGTGGTGGATAGAAACTGTCCGGCGGATCCGAGAAACTCGGCATGGTTGTGGTGAGAGCAACCATGGATGGCACCCCCTGCCCCAAACTGGCGCAGAACGTGTTGGTGAGCCGTCCCGCGAAAGAAGCCAAAGGCGCAAGTGGAGGAATACCCGAGGACAGAGGCGAGTGAGATAAAGCTTGCGGAATAACCAAAGGTCTGTAGGGCATGAACATGGGGTAGCCCGTGTAGAGCAGGTGTCCCGGTCTGGGCTGAGGGGTCCCTATGAGGGAATCGATTGAGAACGCAGTCCCTTGGCCGCCGGGTCTCTGCATTTTTGCAGGTGAGCACGTTTTAACGCAGAGGAAACTTGGAAGCAGGTGTCCCCTTCCTGTGCCGCGCGTAAAAACTTTTCAGCGTGAGGACGGAGCGAATTGAAAGTAGATCCTCTGGCGTGTTGTCATCCCTGGAAGTGGAGCTCTTCTCCGGATCTGTGCGCTCTATATGCGTCGGTCAGTGGGGCGCTTTGCCGTGTGCCCCCGCTCCGCTACACCTTTTCCCTCTTATTTGTCACACACACTGAGACATAAACACACGCTCCCCTCTCTTGTCTATCTGCCTCCCACACCTCCGCCCCTCTCCGCTGCACCGCGTGTGTGCGTAATGTGTGCGCGCAGAGAGAAAGAGAGAGAGAGAGAGAGGGCGAGAGCGCATTGGTTATAATCCGCAATACAAGAGGGATGAAAAGGGGGAGTTTCCCTGGGGGCTCATCCATCTTCCTCAAATTACGCTTCATTTCCTTATTCAGCCTCTGACTTTTTGGCCGTCTTGAGAGGCGGTAGTTTCCCAGTGGAGACCAAATAGACGGGTCGCACCCCTCCTCACCCCTCCTCCCCCCTTTTTTAAAGCCAGGTTTCACCATTGACTTGCAAAAAAAGAAGAAGAGAGAACTAGTGTGAGAGACTGCTCCAGCCCTTCCCCTTCTATAATCGTTGACCACACCAACCCAATCAGCTATTATTAATTTTGATTGATGATAAGTAATTACTCTGGATGCGAGGGGACGGAGTAAAACAACGGTGGCTTTTGTTGGAATATTGGGGCCGATGGGCATTAGAGTCAGGAGAGGAGGAGAGAGGAGGAGAGAGGGGGTGAGAGGCAGATGTTTCCCCGCTCTCTGTCTTATGCTCCCCGGCTAAAAACAATACGTTTTGGGCCTCAGGGGGGAGGAAAAAAAAGAGAAGTTGCTGCAACAATTGTTCCCAGGAGAGAGATACTCTGCGAGAAATTAGATCCACATAAAAGGCGTTGACGCAGAGGTCAACTGCAGCGTGGACACGGACACTCCGGGGCCAAAGTCAAATTTAAATGGATTTCCACTTTGTCTCAACTCGTTTAAAACACACATCACACATCAGCTGCCAATTAAAACCACAACAATTCAATTAACACATTTTCTCCTCTTTGTGGGGAAGAATTATTCAAACCCTCATGTGCAGGAAAAAAAAGGTAAAATCACTTTTCTCCGTTTTCTTTAAGCACTGGTTTTAATCGCAGATCATTTCACCTTTTAAATGGCAATGGGGGCTGATGATGATTAGCCCTATTGAGGCCTGGGTGCCCGAGCTCTCCAGCCGCTCGTCTGATTGCACGAGGACACAAACATATCACCAGCGGCTCTGATTAGCTCTGGAGGACCAGGCTAATTCTCATAATTGCGGGTGACTCCGGCTTCAGACGCAGCTCCTGTCTGTGATCCACTGAAACCATTCACCGAGCTCCTCTGGTTCCAATGTCTCATGTTTCTCTGCTGATCATCTGGTGTCATTTAATCCATTGCAGTCGTGTCTTTTGTAGTTTTCATCTGAAATTAACACTCAAAGAGGATTCATAATGTGGATATATATGGATGACTTTTCCTCTCATGCGTAATGAGTGATGATAAATCTGCAGAATGGTCCCATTAAAAGATCGTAAGTGTTAAAATCTTCTAACTCAAATAAACACGAGGCCTTAAAATGTTATTAATAATAAATAATCTTACAAATATCTTAATTTGTACTAAACAAACATATACAGATTCTAATCCAAAATTCACAATTTGCAAATGATGGCAGATTAGAGGAAGACATGTTAATTGTCTTTTTTCTCAATTAAGTTTCGGATGTTTAATAATCAAATTATATATAAAGATAAAAGATGATCTGGAATTTCACAATGAAAGCATCACAAGCTGCCCAAAACGTAATTGTTTTTACGATGCTCAAACTTTGCCCAAATACTTTTCTAACCTTACATCTTGCTTTCACACAAGAGCTCATTTTCATTTATTTCTTTTTTACATATTTTAATCTTGATTTCTTTTTTTTTTTCCTCCATAAAACGGATGAAAAACGACCAGTGAACATTTAGCAGCAGATTACAAACAGAAGAAGCTTGAGAGCGATGGAGAGAAAATACATTGCACCAGAAAAAGAAAGAAAAGAACCGTGACTAGATTATTTAGCCATGATGGAATATTTTTATTCTAAACCTGCCTGGCCTTATTTTGATATAAAACACCACCATCACAATCACATCGGTGGTGAGAGCAATAATTATTTATGCAAATACTTGATGCCAGTCCCCATTTAAAAACACATCATTACTCTGTGTATTAGCATTAAATTATATTAATTATATGTATAAAAATACAGGCATGTTAGTCTCCTTACTATGAAGAGCAGAAGTAAAAAAAAAAGGATGTGATCACACAATAAACAAAATATAAAACAGTTGCATGCTTGTTATAGTCAAGTCAAGGCTATAGCTCCCTCTTGTGGTGCAAAATGAAACATGTAGCAGTGCTGAAAGGCTGATCTGGAATAAAGGTGAGAGGAACAAGCAGCTGCTCACATGCCACAGACATAAAGATTTGAGTATTGATGCTGTAGTTTCTAGTGACGAGTGAGTATTATTCTTTTGTGAATGCTCACTCCACTCTTTTTAGCAGCACTCAGTCCTCAGAAGCTGAAACTCTACACAGAGCTTCTCTCAGTGCACGTAGCCTCTGTACTCCAGGAGCAGGTAGTTCTTGATGAAGGTGGGAAGGTCAAGTTTGGGGACCACCCTGTGCACTCGGCCCTCCAGGAAGCTCCTGAGTCTGCAGCGCGCCAAGTGCTGCAGGGAGCGAGGGGTCAGCGCCAAGGAGAAGATGGACTCATAGAAGTCCTTGTGCTCCTGATTGGAAAGAAACACAAATTAAATCAAGTTGATTCAGCCAAACACTGATGTATTTCTTTCACCAAACAGTGAACCAATGTATTTCAAAAAAAAAAAAAGTTAGGCCGACTAATTGAATAAACATTGAATGGGCCATTCATCATTGTTAGCCCTATGCAAATGTCAAATGTTATTTGGGCAATGTGTTTAGTTCCTTTTTGATGATCATCTTTTTCATGAAGTATTTTTTAATTGTTCTTTTGTCAAATGCTAGATGGGGGGCAACGTCAAATTTATGGGCTGTTCTATTATCAAAATAATATAATCAGACAGAATTTGGTTTTGACCAGAAAAACGTCATCGGCAAAAAAAAGAAAGAAAAATTCCTATTTGAAAAGCATTTGTCTAAAAACACACAAAGTGGTTAAACTCCACTGGTCACTTGAGCAGTTTAAAGCATTTACCTTAAACACCTCAGTAGAAACGGACTCAACCCAGGTGTCAGAGACTTTGAGGTGGCTGTAGGCGTTCAGAAGGACCTCGATGGTGCGTGGAGATTGGCAGCAGTGCTTCAGAACCTGCAAAGAAACACCAGAGCAAAACAACATGAGCACACAACCGTCATTTAAGTTGTTGAGTGAGCTTGTGACTCCATAGAACTGAAGAAATAAAGTAATTAAACACTTGTGAAATGAACAGATTGGTCTTCCCTCCAGGGGTTTAACTGGAAATTATGCAATTAGTGCTAATTAATCTCCTATTAACACTTGCCTAATTAGGAACCATGCATTTTGTCTCGTGCACGTGGGTTCACTGATAGTTGTAGTCTGTTTCCCGCAGAGAGTGCAACACTTCATGTTGTGTCCTGAAATGGGAGATTTGACTGTGGAGAAGTCAGGATTGTTGCACAGAACAGTTTAGTGTTTCAAGACCTGTACTCAAGGTGTGACATGTGCAGCACTCGTTAATTATGCAAAATGGGCCACCTTGATGAGCAGTTGGTTCGTACTGTAAATACAATGTGCTACAGCCCAATCTGTAACACGTTAGAAATTTTTGTGTGTACACATTTTATCCCTGGTACTTTTGGATAGCATGCAGCTTTTTGCTTCCTACCATGGGCAGAGCTCCAGGCCACACCCGAATGGAACCGTGGTTGAGCAGAGCGCGGACGATCCTCTCAGGCTGATGGGAAAGCTTGTAGCACACCACCTTCAGGATGTTGTGCATGGGAGCCTCACCACCGTAGTCCATGTCGTTAACGCAGGCACCGTTGCCCAGGAGCATATCCACTATGTCTGGATTTGCATGCTTGCAGGCCATGTGCAAAGGAGTGCGTTTGTCCTGGTCTGTCGTGTGGACGTCAGCCCCCGCTCCCCGCAGCATCTGGCACACCTCGAAGTAACGCTTCAGGTCCTGCTCCTTCTGGGGCTGAGAACAAGCAGTGTTCAGGGGCGTGAGACCCTCCTCATTTCGTTTGTCCACAGCTGCTCCGTAGCGCAGGTAGAGCTCAACGTGGTCTGAGAGGCCGTACCTGGCTGCCACATGTAAGGGAGTGTTTTCTTCTTCAAGACTGCGACCATTGATTGCTGCACCGTACTGAAGGAGATATTTGGCACATCTGCAAGAAATACAGAACCTTGTTTTGCAAATGAGCACAAGTCGTATTCCCACATTAGATCAGTGGCTCCAATATTTCTTATCTGATGAACCCTGGAAGAAATATCAGATGACCTCAAGTGGCCTACCCCTTCATCACCTCCCATTGTGCTCCAAATGTGTTCATTAAAATTAATTTCGAACTCATTTCACAGAATCCAATTTGTTCTTTTTGTCAGTAGGTTTGATTAGATTGTTTTTGTAATAAATGCACTCGAGCTCAGTCCAGCACACTCAGGGGTTCTGCAGCTACAGCCTTACTCGGCCTGATATGGCCATTAGTCTATGACGGCAAATTTTAACTAGTACAAGCAGATGTTGTGGTTCACTGACTTTGCGTTTCACAATTTCCTCTTATAAAAGTAAAATTAATTTGAAATAAAAGCACTCTCGCTCAATTAAATAAACTCAGGGGTTCCACAGTTACAAGAGTCTGGTGAGACCAGTGGCTTATGGTGGCCCATGTTAGATAATGTAACAAAACCTTAGAATAAAGATTGACGACATAATAGCTTCCCAAAAAATAAGCCAAATCATCCTTATCACCCCCTGGTGGTTGGCTGCAATACAGTTCATAAAACTAGCCTCCTCCATGTCAGTGGATGGGACATGGACCAAAGCTTGGTTTTACTTAGTTTGTTAATCGTAGAAAAATGTCATCATTGACTCGATATTGGCTGTACACATATAACAGAAGGACCTCAATACTTCGAGATTACTTTGGCTTCATTTTTGTACAATGGAAGGAATTGGACTGTCGTCCATCTTTATGTACAGTCTACGATGTTTTAGTTTTTGCCGTAATTGGCACTTGTGCCAATAGAAGCCGCTGTTCAGCAGAGGTTACACACATAGTCTTGCTTTAAGCTGTTACAAATGTCTGCTGTTGGTTGGAGGTGTTCCTGTTGTAGCTGGTAGCTGTGATGGTCATTGTGTCAACATGTAGAAAGTCGTAATGCTATTCATATCTCTCCACAAATAGTGGCCCACATTTTCTAGATTCACTCCACTCACTCGAGAGATTCTGGGCTTGTGCAAATGTGCAAAGGCATGAGGCCATCTTCGGAGACAGCGTTGGCGTTAGCGCCGTGGATGAGCAGCAGTTTGGTGCACTCCGGCTGGCAGTTTTCACAGGACTCGTGCAGAGCAGTCGTGCCGCCGGGTGCTAGGTCTACGCTGGCTCCACGTTGCAGCAGCAGTTTCAGGCAGTCAGTGAACCCTCGACCAGCTGTGATGTGAAGCGGTGTGGTCAGTTCCTGCTCGTAAGTCAGCGACCACAGTCCTGCCAGCAAGGACGACAATTTGGATAAAGTTACCTCTGAGTTCAAGCCTCAGGATCACAGTGTAAACAAACAGCCATGTCAGATGTGATTATTGCAAGAGTTCTGGTTCTGTTAGCTATAGAATATTCTGCACAGTCACAACATTTCGAAGTATATTGATAATATTGTGGCTTATGCCTCATCAGAATGTCAACACCTCCCCCTGTACACAGTGATCAAAGCAGTAAAATCAGAACAGTGGAAATCCTACTCAGGCCTCTGTAGTTAAATCTGAAGTTCCTCCATTCCTCTATGTTGCTGGTGTCATAAACAGCATCAATGAGGTGGTCGTACTCGTCATCGTCCACGATACTGAGAACCATCAGCTCATCGCCAACGAGCAGAGAATTCCAGAACTGCAGGACACAACCTGTGGCCTTGGCTGTGGCTATCACGTCGCTGCGGTAAGACTTAGGTTTGTGCCACTTGATGTGAGGAGCCACATAAGCCATACTGGAGCCGACTAGCTTGTTTCCTTTTCAACGTGTTTTCTCCAGGAGGAATAAAGCACTTGTGTAGGTTGTTTGTGCAGACAGGGCTATTTCAGGCGGTGTTATGTGATATTTAATTTGACCCCCTGAACCTTGCCAGTGCAACGCCATGGGAGCCAATGACTGGTGCTTTATGTACCACCTGCTCAGTGATTCTGCAAATCCACTGAAGTCAACTGACAACTGACTTGAATTATGAATTCAAGGAACTCAGAAGTGACACATTCCATTAACAAATAGGAAAGTATAAGTGACATGCATAATTGTTGCCTTTAATATTGATTTCCAATAACGCAACTATTGCATGTGGGAACAGACTATAAATACTGCCTCGTGCTCTGTTTCTATAAACATTGCGTCGCTGTGTCTGTTAATTCTGCCTGAGGGTGAGCTGCACCACTTACATGTTTCATGTAGCTGCATATTAAAAATCATTTTAAAGCCTCTATTTTTATTAACAACACAGAAATTGTCTGTTAAAGAAGGACTTTGAATAAGAAGTGCTTTAACGTTTCTGAATTTTGGATGCTACCTCCAGGAGATGCAATAAAGCTATTATCTGTGCTGTGCCACATCCTATGAATTCCTTATTTAATTCCCAATGAAGACAGATGTTGTCTCCTACCTTCCCCTCTGGCGACCCAGCGCATGTCCCCTCCCTGTGGCTCAATGATGAGATTTGCTGTGGATCCTCTGGGAAAGAGCCGCTGCATGGCCACCAGGTCTCCTGTGTACAGAGCATTCTGAATCACCACGTCTTGGCACATTGCTGGTGGAAGAGCAGAGCTGGACCTCAGCAGCACCCGGTCTCTGGCCTCCTTCTTCCACATGTAGCTACTGAGCTGATGGGAGGCCATCTGCCTCTTGTACTTGTGTCTCTCGAGCATGTCCTCGTCAAGTTCAAGAGAACGCAAGGCCATGGGCGTGAAGACAAAGCTGCCTCGCGACATGCTGAGTCTCTCAAACAGAGCAAATTGATGTGTGTGTGACAAAGCGAGGCCCGTCTCTCTGTATCTGTTGTTGTTTCACTCTCTCTGGCTAATGTCCACTATGTGCCTGCCGGCTGTTCACAGGGTTGGTTCACAGAGTTGTTTTGATATTCGGTATGAGACCCTCCCTGTGTGACAAGTAATGCTATTTTTATGTCTCACATGCAGTCACTCGAGCCTCGTGTGTTTGCCTCCAGCAAAGTTACAGCCATGAAGTGTCTGTGTCAGGCTGCTGGAATCAAATGAGCTGACTCCTGCTTTGCACCTTTACAGTTTTCTAAATTACACGGTGTCTTATGAGACAAAACCTTAATGTGCTGAAAGTGTGGAGTTTTCTTACAATTTTCTCTTATGTTAAAGTAGTGCTTATTCCTGATATATTTAATGCATGCTCATTTCTCATACTCTAAGTGTGCTGAGAAGAAATTGTCCATATAAAGTTTCAAGTAATTGGATTTAAAACCTTTTCAGGCACAGCTCTAATTTTTTTTATATTAAAAAACTAAAAGTTATAGCTGACTTATAACTTTTTAATGTCAAATTTTGCCCTAACACTTTTCTTTGTGGAAAACAGGGCAAATAAAAATCCCCTATTTGTGAGCCCCATATGAGTACGGGTTTGCAAAATGTATTTTTCTGCTCAGTATCCTTAATGGATTTTATGTATCCACATGGCTCCCTGCATTAGAGCATTAGGCTGAATGACTGGCAACCGCTGTGTCACTCTGCCCCACGTGTAGCGTTGTGATGGTGGAGGGACAGCGCATAATTAAGCCTCTTAAGCCTACTTCCAATGGCATCTGACAAACATCGCTTTTTGACTGATGGGCCGCCATTTTCCAGAGCTGGTGGAAATTCTACCCAACAGCAAAACTGAATCCTACAACAAAGCATCATGGTTCACAATGTTAAGCTTTGAGATTTTGGAGGAGTGAACTTGATTTGCTATCATTGTCTATTAAAATTAAAACTGTATCTCGTATGTTAGGGCCTGAGCCCATAGTCCAACCTCTGCAGAAAACATGGTGTGCACCACAGGTGGAGAAGTACATGAGCTTTTTTTACCCCCCCCCCATCCCATTTGAAAACACAGAAGCATCGCTGCATCTCATCTATACCTTAATGACTGTTCTGGTATGGAAATCAAGGTCATTTATTTTATGTTACAGTTTGGTAATAGATGCCACATTAAACTGAAGGCGAGTAAGAGTTTCAACTTTGAAAACACACATTACCAGAGAGAGACTAGGAATATTGTTTTTGCGGCTGGAGTACATCCTTTTAAATGATATACATAATGAGTTTATAATATGCATCTGGGCTACCTCCTCTCTACTTTGATGTCTTCCAAATGGCCCGGGTGTCATCAGCAGAACATGTAGGCACTTTCCCGCCTCATTGACTCCCAAATGTATTTTAAATATCATTCCTGGTAACGCAATTATTTAAAACGCTGAACTAAACACTTACTAATGGGGAAAAAGACAGCGACTTCGATAAATTCATTTCTCAAATGGTGGGCATTCATGTTTCTTGTTTTTTTTCTTCTTTTTCTTCTCCGTGAAGCGGAGGCAACTCTGATGACAACAAAAAAACATCAGCGGCAGTTACAGCCCCTGCCCTCGCAGCTCCCCGCGGACATATTAAATCAGTGGTTTCCTCACATTACCCACCAGTAGCTGTCTCTCTTAAGGTTTCCAACATTGTGGTCAACTGCCTCCCTCTCCCAAAGGCAGCGAGAGGCCGGACATCAGCAACAGCCCTGATGAGAGTGAGCCACTTCATTTATGCAATCATAGGCAATTAGTTCCCTCTGATTATGTGCCTCTTAATGCTGTTTTGAGTACTGTGGCACACAGTAATACAGAAAGAGATTAAACTATAGCCCTCCCTCCACACTGAGCAGTCGTTTAATATACTGAGAACATAATGAAATGTACACAGTAATTACAGTAATATTAAATGCTAATGGATTCGCAATTGGATCTGCTGTTAGTTTAAGACTGAGTCAGAGCAACTCTAGAAAGTCTAAGTTTGTAGAGAGCACCATGGCGTCAGAACACTTAATTATCCATCAGGTGTTTCTTATTCTAAAAGAGAGCAATCAATTAAACTCGTCAGCTCTCATGTGTAGGGAGTTAGAAACATAGAAAAAGGGTCAAAAGTTTCTCTTCCACTGTTAAAAAAACCAGGATGTCACCATGGAAACATGATGAGAAATAATCAACACACTTTAATTGGCTGGTGACATTTTCTAAAAAGAAGATGGAGGCTGCGTTTATGCATTTGCCTTCTGGTTCTGATCGTCTATGGCTTATTCAAATGCTCTTAATATTCCCCCTGCCTGTTTAGGCCGTGCAGACACATTGAGGTAGACACACACAGTCTGCTTTAAGTCTGCCTTGCCATTAAAGAGCCTGTGATAGCCAATCATCTCTGCTTTATTTCCCATATATGTATATGGGCTTAGAATGGTGCCGTGTTTGCAAATCTTCCTCAGCTCTCATCACAATGCTCGATGCTCGGCGGAGAATCCAAATGAATTTATAGGGCCCTGAATTGAACGGTAGCTCCAAAGTATTCAGCGGAAGCATGATTACTTTTTCTCTACCATTTCAGCCCTTAGCCCACCACCTATAATGCATCGTATGGGTCTTTCCAGATTCCAATTGTCTCTCAATGCACTGATCACCACGCAAATAGCCCCCTGTTTCATCATGACAATTGAGAGGTTCATATTTCAACCTAATAGTCTTGTATAACTTTAACCATCTATCACAACCTCATTTCATTGCGGTCGCAGTTAATACGCGCTTCCCTGCCAAGTGGAACATTTTCTAATGATGCACTCTCACACGAAAACAAGGCAAGGCAGGCCGGCTTCCGCATCACTCACTAATGCACCCATCCATAATATGTTCATAGCAGCCCGATGAAACAAGGAGACGATGACGACTGCCAGTGTGGGCACGGGCATGAGAGGGGATATGGGGAAGGGTGCAGGATGCAAAACCTATAAATGGACGTGATAATCGAGATCAAGTCACTGCCATCAAAGACTGTATCACCCTCATAATAACATCTGTAGATTTCATATCATTACAGAGAATGCTGGGAAACATCTCAAATGGGTATCTCAACAATAACAGCCACTGGTTGGAGTCGCATCCATGTGCATTATTACAGTGATCCTGGCTCTGCAGGATGATGATACAACAGCAGGCTTTACAACTTGAAGCTATACATACATGCATTAGACTAAGGCCTAATGGTTGCATGCAAAGCCTGAAGTAAACACCGTCCTAATTACAGAGACCTTTATCAGTGCCTTCATTTTATGCAGATTGGACTGGTGCAAACGCTCGTGTCATTATCCTGTAATCATGTACTATTCAGCTGACAGTGCCATCTTTTAAAAACCTGATTAGGATCCACAACAAGGACACAATGTTGAATTATTTCCCCTGACAGTTTATAAATACGTTAATTTTTAAAGCTAACTGAATAATGGATCTTGTTGAGTTTGAATGCATCAGAGGTGAAAGAGATTACTCTGTAAAAAACAGTGCACCTTGGGGTTTTTGAATATAATTATGAGTATACTAAACAACTTGTAGTACCTGTCACACAGTCACTGTCTCTACATGGGATAAATGATGGTTAGTCACTTTGTTCTGAAGATATTTCTAAAGTCTCCTTTCTCACTCTGCGTCGCACATAACAAAAAAACAAAAAAGGTTTCAGCTGCAAAAGTAAAATGCTGCTTTTATGGATCCATCAGAATTAACAATCTAAATACTGCTATGTGTAAAAAATAATAACATGCCAGTCACTGCAACATTTATTTACAAAATGAACATTTGGAATTAAGTTCCTTTTCAAAAAGGACTCAAATAGTAATTTGAATCAAGTATTTGAATTGTAATGGAGTAATTTATAAATGTTCTACATCTGTTTTTGAGTACTTCTTCCATATTACATGAGGAGGATTATATTGAGGAGATGACCTGTTAAAACTCTGATCAACACTTACCTACCTGTTTAATCCCACACCTGTCAGGGTTGGTGTGCAGAGGCCATGAGTCGACGATAAAGTGAGACAGGTATGATTCAAAACTATTTTGCAAACTCCATAAATAACCCTCATTGTGCTTATACAATGGCCATCATCATCATCATACACAATTAGCCATCATATCGAAATTACATATAATATATAGATGAAAGTTATATTGCTATAAATGCAGTTACCACCAAAATGTGTGTTTAAGTGAATTTGACCAAATACTATTGTGTTTTGATTTCACAGAAAAATATTATTTGAATTGAAACTAAAGAGGCTACAAATGTTATGGATAGATTTTTATTGTGCAATATGATCATTTCAACTTGCTGTATTTATGAAAAATGTGCAATCGCCCCATCTAGTGGCCAACACTGGGCCTGACAGTCACTCTTAAAAAAGAAAGGATGAGAACAAGTGAAGGTTTTGTGCGTTTATTGAAATCAAACCATCACAGAGTCACGGACACTCGGTCCTGAAGCCTCTGTGGTGATGAGCCGTGCTCACTTGGAGCTGGTGTACTTGGTGACCGCCTTGGTGCCCTCGGACACGGCGTGCTTGGCCAGCTCCCCCGGCAGCAGCAGCCGGACGGCGGTCTGCACCTCCCTGCTGGTGATGGTGGAGCGCTTGTTGTACTGGGCCAGCCGGGACGCCTCGGTGGCGATCCGCTCGAACAGGTCGTTGACGAAAGAGTTCATGATGCTCATGGCCCGGCTGGAGATCCCCGTGTCCGGGTGAACCTTGGAGGACAGGACGGTGTTAGTTTACCTCGGGGGACAAGGAAGCGGTGGAGCCTCGGTCCGTCACCCACCTGTTTCAAAACTTTGTAGATGTACATGGCGTAAGTCTCCCGTCTCTTGGCTTTCCTCTTCGTCTTCTTCTCTCCGGTGCCTTTGCCTTTCTTCTTCGACAAATCGTTTGTCATGTTTGGAAACTGAGTGGAATGAGTCTAAATGTGTTACGCTACTGTATCCGGTTGGTTTCAGGAGTAAGAATCCTTCCTCTCTGGAAGTGGACGCTTGTTTAAGTAGCGGCGTTAATCAGTGATCTCTTTCACCTGCAGCGTGTTAGCATGAAGCTAACACAACCACCACCTCCACAGTGAGAGGGTCATCCACGTGGTTGTTGTACCTGTGCTACCAGACAGCAGCAGACAGGCGGGAAAGTCTGTGTAGACAACCATTTGAGTATGTGTACGTTGATTCCGTCCTCTGTACGATCAGCGTCACCAACATTCACGTAATGTACGATAATATCCAAGTGCTTTGATCTTCCATGACCTGGGTGATTAGCAGCGTCCAGACAGATACAGTCTGATTTAGCGATGGTCTGTGTGTGAATGATTGTTGTGATGATATACGTGACTATGTACCGTGTGCGTCTTTTTTTTTTTTTACTACCTCTTTCCACGTGACGTCTTCCCAGCCAATCATGTCGGTGGAGGTGAAGCTTGACCTATGTTTGTTTCCCATGTAGCTAAATAAGTAGTCATGTCCTACTTGTTTGTCTAAAGGTGTTTAATGAAAGTTTTTTTTTATATATATAAACAATTTGTTTGTTGTTTATGTATTGTGTATTTGTTTAGGTATGATTTCCTGCAATTGTTTTTTGAAAACTGGTTGAGAAGTCGTTAACAATAATTGTCGCGATAAGATAGCAGAAATATCAGTATAACAAAAGTTCAGTATATATCAATGTATTGCTTATGCATTGCTGACAGTGAGGAGGTAACACCTGATGTTGTTTATCATTAAACTTAAAAGAATTAGGAGGCTTGAGTCTTCCTACAAATAAAAGAAACAAACAATAATGTGATTAATGATAATAACTGATATCAACTAATTAGAACATTTTTATCTCAACATTTTTGCTGTGTCACCCAGCCCTAAGTAAACTCCATCACAAGTTGGTAAAAAGACTGGATTACAAGTCGCAGATGTCAACATAATTTTACATCAACTCTAATGTCAGACTGCATGTCCATATCTCACAAGCTCCTCACAAACATTTTACTAACGCAGCTGTTTTTTATCATTAACTCTGCTTATGTTTTAAATGATTTATATGCCTCTCACACCTGATCTGTTTTCATAGCTCTTTGCTATCATGCAAATATTGGAATGAGGTGTCAAAGTGTTATCTAAAATGGAATTTAAATCGCAACCTGACTTATCAGAAAATGGAGCACTCTGACATTCAACAGTGTGATAAGAACTACTCATAATTGATATAAAAACTTTTGATGCATGCTTTGAGTTTTTAGTTTGGGCCACGTCCTGTACTGCAGTCAGCCACCAGGTGGGGATCAAGGCACTTAAGGCTTCACTTTTAGGGTTAGTCATGTTCTCCATCTTATATACAGTCATGCACAAGGACCCTGACACTGAAGCAGCTAAATGGATTTCAGCCATTACCACTTTTATTATTTACAGATTTACTTTTCCATATGTGACATGTGAACCTGTCTGCCATGAAAATTAAAATGCATTCCTGTGTAGTCATATTATAAATGGAGATCGTACTTCTAGAGCTCACTCCGTTGCACATAATAATGGTGCCCACCTGGGGGCACACTAGTACCAGTTTTAAATGCTGTGTTAAAGGCAGAGTGAAGCACTTGCTGCATATTCCACAATAATTCACGGACCACCGCTGTGCAGCTTGTAGGTCACTGAATAATCTTACTTTTAAATACACTTGTGAGCAACCTTGGTAGTCACATGTAGTGTTTAGCTAAGATGTAACACTGCACTGTTTTCTGATTGATTCATTTACACTGAGGCAATATTGATTAAAGCTGTATGGTATGGGGTACAAAGCTGAATTCAAACAGATACTTCCTCCAGTATCCAAGGCACAAAGGCCTCAAAAGCCCCAGTTTCATTTAGTCTGATTAAGTGTGTAGTTGTCAGACGAAATGCAGATGAGTCTGGGAATTTGCAATATTAATGTCTGGCCCTGAAGAACATCGAACACCACTGTGTTACATTCCTGTTGTTTTCATTTCAACATTGCATGTACTTGGTGAATAAACTATTTTGTGTCTAAATGAATATTTAACAGTTGTATTTAAGATTTATTCTAATTATTGAACCATTGACACAGCATCATTTGGGAATATTCTCAACACATCCTTGAGATTTTATACAACAATAACTTGTATCAAAACGTGCACAGCGGTGGAAGTTGATTGTAAACGTGAGCCCAAGATAGGCATTGCTCTGTTCTCTTGCTGTGTTCCACAAAATATATTCGTTATTTTAATATAATATTTCAGTTTTAGTTGATGTTATTTGGTGTCTGATTGCAGTAAGGGGTCTATTTGTTTATTCAGTAGTGATATGCTTACATCTCTTAGGCCTGTGTTTGACCTTGGACTGTTGTGTTTTGAACATCCTGACAAATTTAAGATTTTCATGCTGATAATTTGGATAAACATGTTTCTGCCCCAGGCCTGTGTTATCTGTTTTCAGTCTAACATCTAAGTAAATAGGCACCCAGTGTGTGGTTGTTTTGGTATTTTAGTATAAAAGCAAATATGTGCCATCCATTATTTGTTTGCTAACCAATGTGTTTTACTGCTGCATAACCAATTACCCAAAAGATTTGATTGAGTTATTTGAATTTAAAACACAATATATTGTTTTTTGACCACAAAGGTTGTTTTATCTTAAAGCAAATGCTTTAACCTTTTTTACTCGACAACATTTTTCAGATTGCATTGGGCATTAACACAGTTGTACACAGTTGTATCTGCTCAAGTTTTGCGATGCTTCCACACAATAATCTCAGATGTGTGCGTGGCGAATTTGAGAAAGTTGTTGCAACATCTATCTAAGTAGGCTGTTTAGGCTGTAGAGTGTGAAGTAGATTGACAGCAGTGATAAGACCCTAACACCTGAGAGCTTTTACCACCGGAGCTTTGCAATAACTGCTTCATCATGAGAATATATTTTGGTTTAAAATGGCACTGGACTTGGAATTGAATGTGTCTAGTTTCATTTTTTTTGAAACTCAGTGTGAAGAGACACATTTCTGCCAAGTATCACACACAACAGAAACACAAACAATTGTTTTTATGTAACATTTCTAGTGCACAACAGAGAAGAAACATACTATTTGTCTTTTGGTTTTTGCTTCACACACTTGGGCTGTAACACCTAACAGACCCTCTCCTGTGCATCTCGATAAGAGATGGGAAGGTTTGTGTTGATCAATGACACAGCAGCGTTTCCATTTTGTGTGAGTAATTGGTGCCAAGTTTCCTTGTAGTACATCGCCACTTCTTTGTTCAAGGTTTCAGACTTTTTCTAACCCTCTCAATCCTGTCCTCCATAAGCGCACAGCAGATATTGAGCAATGCATTACAAATGAATAAGCTCTTATCGCAGACAACATTTATGCAAGGTCGTTTGCAGCAACTTCACACAGTGAATAGGAGCCATTGGTTGAGTGTATTGTGAAGGCCATCTTCTCCTCTGTTGTCTGGCAGATTTGTGCTGTTTGGCTGTTTCATCTGTGAAGAGAAGATGGAAAAAAAAAGGTGAGTGTGTGCACAGCTGCTACCTCGATATGTCTGTGACAGCCACAGAAAAAGAAAAATGTTAGCTGTTCTGTTTATCACAGTCTTTTATATTGACATATTGCTTAAGGCTATGAGGTGTGTGTGTGTTGTTTTTTTGTGTGGGGGATTTGTGGCTTGATAGAGCAAAAGCTTAGCTTGATACCTGCAGTGATTACTCTGTAGCTGCCAAATACATAAGTTGTGTTATGGGCTTTGTATACAAAGTTTTGTGTTTCAATGAATGTATACGCAAACAGGCAAATACCATTACGAACAAAAAAAGCTTTTAGTGCAATATGCTTATTTATTTAGTGAAACGTTATCATAATGTTTCCCTGTAATTCAAAGGAACTGTTCAATGTGCTTGTGCTGAACGTTGTTTATTGGAACACTGTGTCAATTCATTCCAGTTTTATTTGTATTGCTCCAAATCACAACATACATTATCTCAAAGCACTTTGCAGAGTAAGGTCGAGACCTCATGATATTATACAGCCAAACCTGACAATTCCTCAATGAGGAAGCAGGCGACAGTGGAGGGATAAAAACCCCCGTTTAACAGGAAGAGACCTCCGAAGCAGGGTGGGCGGCCATCTGCCTCCACTGGTTGGGGTGAAAGCAGAGAAACGGGGGAGTGAGAGAAGACGGGGAGATCAGGGACAGTTGTGTAACTGTTGTGTCGAAGCACCGTTACACTAATTGTTATACCAATACCTATACGTGTGGTAGGGTAATGGTGTAACTGTATTTATAATTATGTTGAGTGAGAGTGGATCCTGCAGAATGAGGACAGGGAGAGAAGACGGAGGATATATGCAAGAGAAAACAAAAGAGTAAATGTAGAAGCGCTCAAGGCAGATTCAAGTCCTCAGGTTCACACTTGAAGTCTGATTTGTTTATCCACTTGTGTTTCTTGTTCCATTCATTTTGACACTGCTCCGTTCAGCGCCGTCTGCTTCTTCTTTAACTTGATGATGTATTTGCTTATAAATGTCAATTGCTTTGCTGTGTTCAGTCCAAAACAGGGTAATCTGTCCTGTGTGGCTCTTTCCAAATCTGCATTACATGGACCTCACACTTGCTTAACACTATAGTTAATATCCAAGATCATGTAGAGAGAGGCAATATTAATGCTATGCTGTGCAATTCTGTTTTCACTTCATTGAAATGACTTGTCAAACCAGGTTAGATTTTTATTGAGCTAACTATTATTATATATTATGTCGAATATTTTACCAACACATCTCGACAGCTGAAATATTTTGGGATCCTGGGATCAGTTAATATTTAAACATCAGCCTTTTATCAAATTTAGTAAATTCTGTCTAAACTAAACAGTATCTCAATTTTAGTTTTGTAGATTAGTAGATAGCACATTTCTTTGGATCTTTAATAGCTCAGGTTTAGCAAAATGTTGTTAGTACTGTATTAGGTAGTACATGTTCAAAAGTAAGCAGAAACTTCTCGCTCTTGTCTCATACATTTTATTGCATAATCTAAATAGTTATGTGCTATCTAGCCTGAGGGTTGGCTGCCACAAGTAATTGAAGAATGAGGAAGAAACAGACTAATCTAAAAGCCATATGTGCTTTAGATGTGGAATTTCTCAGAACATTAGCTTCTAGTCAAAAATCAAATTCTAAGGCCCCAAAAAGAGAGAGTGCAGTGCTTAGCAGCGCCTCAAATGTTACCCCGCCTGATTAATATTCCCTGCATTATGCTGTGCATTCTACCATCCACTTGAAAGCCAATTACTGTTGAA